ACCCAACAGTGTGTAGACAGCCCTGAGTCAAGAAGGTAAGAAAGAATCTTCAGTAAGGGCCATGGAAGTTTCAGGGAGGAAAACAGATTCAATCCCATTCATGAAAACATGTTTCATTGCCTACTGTGTATGGAGGGCAGTTTGGCATAGTGGCTAGAAAGCTAGTCTCGAATCCAGAAGAATCCAAGGTTCAAGTCTCACCTCTGCTTCATAGTGACTCTATGACTCATCTCAGTGCTCTAAAACTAAAAAGACTAAAAGTTTCAGGGAAGGTGCTGACCTGCATTGGTAGAGAGAGCTTCCTTACCTGGGAGTTTCCTGTGCCAATGAAATCATAGATCCGGTCCCTAGCATGATCCCTACTATGTGTGAGGTACAGGATAAAATCTTCCAGTGTATTGCAGAAGAGACAAACATCCTGGCACTTATTGCCAGGACTGGCACGTAGTGCTTTCATTCATTCACCTAACATAATGTTTTGCATTGTGAGCACTTTATACCTACTTTTTTAATTCATTCATTATCCTAGCATAGGGACTTTCATAGAGCAGGCATCATAAATGGTTAATGAATTGTGAATGTGAGGAGGGGAGGTACAGCTGAAAGAGAATTGTTGAACCAGAGCTGTGGGCTTCAGTCCAAGTGAAGCTTTATCCCTCACATTTAAAATCTGGGGATTCTTGGCTTGTCCCGCCTCCTTTCCATTGATCTCTTAGTTTCATCTCCATTGAGATCTTTTTTTTTGTTTTGTTTTGTGTTTCAGTAACCTTCTGTGAAGGCAACTGGTTAGTTTAGGTTACCTCAGTCTGAAGGCTTATTTGGATTTCATGTTGTATGGATAAGTGAGAAAAAGAACATATCTTAATTTTGAATTGTCTTCCTTTGCTTTTAAATGGACACCTATGTATAAATTTGGGGGGACATATCTTGTCATATGGACCAGAAGGTCCCCAGGCAAGTGTGTAGGTTTATTAAGATGCTTTCACGACAATCTAGACAGGGGCTTAGAGACATCTCTAAAGTTGCCTGTCTGGGTTTTAGGTGTCTTCCTACCTCCTCCCTGTTATGCCTTCTGCTTGTAAGCTGGTAGTCCAGGTCTATGTGCAGATAAAATATCTTATACCCTGCCCAGAAGTCAACAGCAGTTCAGCTAAGTGACTCCAGACGAAACCAACTGTCCCTTACTTGAGACAAAGATGAGGTGGACTGAGTTAATTTTCTTCATTAGCAATTACACATATCATAAGCCCACGTAGATGGATTACTTTGCTGCTTAACACATGAAGAAGAGCCGAAATGACTGGCTATTGCTCTGTCACAGCAAGCAGCTGTCTCATATTTCCTGTGAAAAGTCAGTCAATAAACATTTAGTAAGCACCTACCAGTTAACAGGCACTGGGCTAAGTGCTCAGAATACAAATAAAGGTAAAAGACAATGTGTGCATCAGAAGCTTCAGGATAGGGGTTCTTAACCTCTTGTGTGCCATCGACCCCTTTGGCAATCTGCAGAAGTCTAGGGATACCCTTTCTCGGAATAATATTTCTAGTCCGCATAAAATAAAATGCAAGGGATTTCAAAGGAAACCAGTTATATTAAAATATAGTTATCACATTTTTTTTTAAATTAATGGACATCAGGTTAAGAACCCCTGCCTAGGAGCTCCTTTTATTTGATGTTACAGCAAGCTGTCCTCGTTGATCTTTGAGATGAAGTCCCTCTGGAGAGGAAAAGATACCTTCTGTTCAGTATTGTCAACCTCTCTCACAACGAATAATGCCACATCTTTGAATAAGCCTGTGGAATTTCCCCAGGAGATGTTCTCATAGGGGGAATGAAGTGATCCTGGGCATGGGGTCTAAAGACTCCCACTCCCCAGAAGCCTCTTTCTTGGGGGTCTTTGACAGAGAGTGACTAGCAGTTCACTGTGGTCTCAGGAATTTACCACTACAGGTTCCCACTCAATGGTTCTCTTACTGGTTGAGAAAAGCAGACTAGAAAGTTTCCCTGGGGTCTTTGTAGCAAATAGAGAAGGGTAGAAAAAAACAGCACATTCTTTTCTATTTCTACCTCTTCACCCATCATTCTTAGCTTCTCCCAACCCTTTCAATTCCCACCATCATGTCAGCAAACCTTGTCTCCATTGGCTGACCTCATCATCATCCCTGTTAAAATCTAGGGGTTAAGGAATTAATTGAAATATATACTGTTCAATTATATAAGAGTTCAGACATTGTTGGATCAGGTCAATGAAATGGACCATAGTAAACTTATTTTTTTTTCTGATAAGGAAATTGAGATCCATAGAAGTAAAGAGATTTTCCCAAAGTCACACAGTAAGTTAGTTGCAATGTTAATATTAATTCCAAGATATTTGGAAGGAGAGATCAGAAGTGATGGACACAAGAGTTTCAAAGAAATCCTTTTAAAGTTAGGTTGTTCTGTGAGTGATCTAAGCATCACCCAATATCCTCCATTTATCATTCCTCCTGCTGTTGCTTTTGATGCCCTCAGAACAGTAGTAAGATTCAGGGAAGATGACAGAGCCAGAATTCAGTATTGCGAAATTGCTATGAAACTTAGGCTGAACCTGAGTCTCTGAACTTTAAAGCTATTCTGAGAATCAGTTTCAGTATGGAATGGACCTTGCTGTCACTCTTGCATCATTTGTCTAATATTTCCTTGAACATGGGGAAAGAGGGGACATCGAAGTAGAGAACAGACTGCCCTTCTAGCCTTGTATAGATTTGACCACAGTAATAACTGGCTGGACATGTTAGGCAGCCCCGCTCAAGGTATCAAGGCAGATAGGGAATTACTACCACCCCGATCTGTGCTGCTATGAACTCAGCTTGGAGCTGGAAGAAACCCCAAAGGCCAACTAGTCCAATCCCTTCATTTTCTAGCTAATGAACTGCTAATCAGAAGGGTTAATTAACTTGGCCAATGCCACGTAGGCAGTAAGTAACAGCACTGGGAATTGAACTGAGGATCCTCTGATTCCCAATCCACTGTTCTTTCACTTCTGGAGCAAATAAGACCCCACTTGCTTAATGAGATGAGTTTAATAAATCCTCCCCCCTCCAACACACAGCACATCTTGCCTACACACATAAATGGTGCCCAAATATCCTCCATTAGAGATTCCCCAAATGAACTCACTTAATGGAGAAATGGAACACATTTGTGTCCCAGAGGCTTAAAGATCAGTAGGGTGTTAGAATGCTGGGATCCTGCACTTACCTTCTATAAAAAATACAGTGTCTGGGAACTCTTAAGCCCAGTGGTTTATGTATAAAGTTATGTCTCATATATCTTGGTCTTTTGTTTTCAACATAGAAAAACCAAGTTTTTTTTTTAAATTTTCTTATATTTTTTTTTCTGTAAGATCTGCATGGTAGCGAATGCCAACATCAGGGTCCAATTATATTTTTTTTTCTCCTGTTACCCCTGTCTTCTTTTGAAGTTCAGGACTTTCCTGTTCATCTTCTAGGATGGGTTTGCTCATATTCTCCTGTCTTGGTTAAACTGAGTAGTTGTCATTTCTTTTATGGACTTTTGAGATAATAAGTCCACTGGTTTTCTGATGCTACCACCAAGCCTTCTTTAAATGTAACTGTAGGTTACTCTGAATGCCTGTGCAGAGGGTTTGCTACTGATTTGTGACATGGAAGGCAACAGAGGGCATGTTGGACTTGTACCGTATAGTGGGAATGGATAAAAAAGTGCATGTGTGATGATCTGGGAGCCCCACAAATTGACTTTCTCTGGCTTTAAATGAATTCCTTATATTGGTTCTGCATTGATTTCTGCCTGTTAAAAAACTTTTAGCCTTTACCTTAACAGAGGTACAACTATACTAACTGGTATTTTGTTCAGTGATTGCCCAAGTGGGGATCCTCGGAAATCTTCTGCCGTACAGTTCTTAAGCTGGCTATTTTCTGGCTCCAGATGTTGACTTTGCTTCCTGCCTATGGATAATCTGCTTCTCCTTCCCTCTATACCCCCACCTAGTCTCCTCCATTCCATCTTCCTCTTCTCTATTTGATCCTGGCCTAAGGATGACCTCTGGTTGACCTTATTGCAGTCCTCTTTACCTCCATCGAGAGCTTTGAGACACTTATGATGCTTTCCTGCTCCCCACTCAGCACAAACCTTGGCACTTTCCCATTGATTAATATCCTTGATGGAAAGCCAATAGAAGCCGTGTACCAGTTTGTATAGTAGTGCCCCTTTTTCAACTCTTGACCAAAGTAGAGTGTGCTGGGGGTTGGCATTGGCTGCTTGACACACACAAAGGCAATTAACCTGCATGCCAGAAAATTAACCCTTAGAGTACTGCTTCAGATTTCACCATGTCTTGGGTGGTTGGGGTTTAATTTTCTCTGTGGGCTAGGCTTTTCTCTCAAGCTATGGGAGCCACATGAAAAAGTTCATAGACTACCTAGAACAGATATGAGAATCATTTCTTGGTCACTTACCTAGAATGTTTTGGGGCCCTTTTAAATTAAATACCCAATCACTTAAGCACCCACCCCCTTCCCACATACAACAGCAGTATTTAATTCCAAATGGGATGTATGCCTAAGCTGCTTTAGTGGGTGTGAGGGACTCTTTTTAGCTTTAGTGTGTATTCTCCCAAAGAAAGAAGTCAGTTCTTTAAGGGTTAATGTAAACTTAAGGAATTTAGCCATCTCTCCTGCTTGTTCTTCCTCTGAGGTATCTGCATGATCCTCTTTAGATTTTTAGCTCAACCTTTGAATGATTAAAATGAAACACGACCAACCAATAAACAGACTTTGGGGGGAAAAGAGCAAAGACACTGAATGGTTGAATGGACAGACTCGTTGGCAATGCTTGCTTGTATTTCCCAAGGGGTTGAAAGGCCAAATGTCTAACACTTGTTTTGTTCCCTTCCCTTTCTCCTGAACCCTCGTTTTACAGAAGTGGAGCCCCAATACCTTTTACTTACCTCTTGCATTTTCTTCTCCTTGTCTAATAGCCCAATAGAATCCTGTCAGAATTTCTACAAAGATTTCACATTACAGATCGACATGGCTTTCAACGTGTTCTTCCTTCTCTACTTTGGCCTGCGGGTAAGTAACAAGAGGATGATGCTTACTCTCAGGATGGGCAGAATCTGGGAAGCTTATATGCCTGAGTGGGTGGGGAGGGATTGGGGGCAGGGGGAGTTGGGAGTGGCAGTGGAGACACCAGCCCTGGCTTCTATCCTCTTGGGCAGGAAGTCCAAGGTGTACAGCTAAGGTTTCTATGCATTCTAATCTCTAGTCTCTGAGAGGACCCTCTGCCATCTGAATGTTCCTTCACTGAAGTATTGAAGGTCCAAAGAGAAGGTTACCTGTTAAACTGGTTGTATTTCTACTAATTGCTGATCTGTTTCCTGATCATTCATATAAAGCTGTTCCCAACAAATATTTCAAAGGGAAAAAAAAATTCTCCTTTATTTTTAGCCGATTAGTCAACAAGCATCTATTAAGCACCTACTATATGTTGGGCACTGTGCTAACCACAGGGGCAGCTAGATAGCGCCGTGCATAGAGCATTGGGCCTGGAGTCAGGAAAACTTGAGTTCAAATTCAGCCTCAGACACTTACTAACTGTGTGATCCTGGGCAAGTCACTTAACTCCTCTTTGCCTCAGTCCCTCATCTCTAAAATGAGAACACACTAGAGAAGAAAATGGCAAACCACTCCAGTATCTTTGCCAAGAAACCCACTCTGTGGGGTCATGTAGAGTTGGACACAACTAAATAAATGAACAATAATGACAAAAATGGTAACTGCTAGGATTAGAAACAGAATTAGAGTTAGGGTGAGGCAGCAAATTCCTGTTGTAGACATTTCCTTTATCCGTGCATATCTAGATCTGTTCTGCAAGCTGCCTGGGAACCTGAGAAGCTAAATGCCTTGCTCACAGCTCCCCAGTCACTGTATTATAGCAGCAGGACTTGAACCCAGGGCTTCCTGACTCTGAGACCCACTCTCTATCTAATGTGCCACAGTGTCCCAGCAGACTTTAAATACCAGAGTTAACATCCGGTAGCTCCATGATGGTAGCATATTGTTTTGTAGATGTTCTGCCCCACACCACCTCTTACGAATAGGACATAAACAAGGTTTAATTCCAAGAGACAGTATGAAAAGTGACAGTGGATAGAGAGCTGACCTTCGAGTCGGGAAGATCTAGATTCAAGTCCCACTTCTAATATGAATTAGTTGTGTGACACTGGACAAGTCACCTTACCACTCAGTGCTCCTTGGTGACTCTCCAAGACTCCAAGATACAGGGGTATGTGGGGACCATAAGAGTTGATTGTTAAATTTTCAGTGGAAGCATTTATACCTCCAAAAGTAGCAAACACTACAAATCAGGGTTTGAATTATTGTTTTGCATATTGTCTCAACTTAAGAAAGTGATGGAAGAAATGTTAATCATGCATATTAAACTTAAAAGTATGTCATATAGTCCAGCAGAGTGGCCCAGCAGAAGCATGCTGGGCCCATAACCCAGACGCTGATGAATCAAAACCATCCTCTTGTAGGAAGTTATGTTAGGGGCAGCTAGGTGGCACAGTGGATAGAGCACTGGCCCTGAAGTCAGGAGAACCTGAGTTCAAATCCGGCCTCAGACCAAGCACTTGACACTTACTAGCTGTGTGACCCTGGGCAAGTCACTTAACCCCAATTTCCAAAAAAAAAAAAGTATGTCATGCATACATTTTTTTCTGAGTCAGAAGGTTGTTAAACATTTACCATCATATGCCCTCAATGCAAGTTGTTTATACTATTGAAATTCCAGATCTAGTTCAAAGAATGGTTTTGAGAAGAGTTTGGTATATGTGTATGCCTGTGGGACTGTATACATTTATTTAAATTAGAAATTCAGGGGATTTGATTTTGGTCGCTCAGATGATAGAGCTATGACCCTAAGACCCTCTGATGTTGGACAAGCAAGTTAGCCCATGATACTCTCAGCAGTCATATACCATATATGGCCTGGCCCCTCTCCATGGACTGAACTGGCACAGAGCTCATACAGAAGACTGTGTCTTCGAGGCAAGGCGAACCCACTGTTTAACTGCCACTTCTGTAAATTCCCCAAGTGTGCCCTTTGGAAATGGCAGTAGAGATTAAAACCAGCCCCAATGCCTCTCATGTGTTTCTTTTTCTCTCCATTCTTTTCCCCCAGTTTATTGCAGCCAACGATAAGCTGTGGTTTTGGCTGGAAGTGAATTCAGTAGTAGATTTCTTCACAGTCCCTCCAGTGTTTGTGTCAGTGTATTTAAACAGAAGTTGGCTTGGTAAGTACTTCCTCGCTTTTTCCCTCACATCATTGGTATCCAAACTAGTGCTCTTAGCCTTGAGCAGACAAGAAAAAGGTAGGTTGGCTTTCTGGAAATGCTTTATCCATAGCCAGAACCATTTTGGGTGTTGAACTGAGTGGTTTTTTCTTTGGAACCCTGGAGTCTGATAGGAATAATTCCCCAGGAAACTCCAACTCCAACCCTAAATGATAAGCCTTTTTGTATTCAGGTCAGAGTATCAGGTTGTTGGTGGAGACAGAGTACTAAGGGGCTTATTGCCCAATTAGAGCTGGACGGAGACCCACAGACCCAGAGACAGCTTTGTGTTTGTACCTTTTGAGGGGCATCCATTAGTCAATAAGTATTTAAGTGTCTACTGTGTATCAGGTACATCTTGAGACAGGAGTATGATCCTAAATGATGGTAATCAGTCAATAAACATCTATTAAGCCCATACCATGTGCCAGGCACTTCGCTAAGCACTGTGGATACAAAAAGAGTCAAAAGACAATCCCTTCCCTCAATGAGATTACAATCTCACGGGGAAGACAATAAGCAAATATGTACAAACCATCTATATACAGGAAAACAGGGGAAAATTAAGAGAGGGAAGACTCTAGAATTAAGGGATTGGGAAAGGCTTCTAGGGGAAGGTAAGATTTTAGTTGGGTCTTAAAGGAAGCCAAGGAAACCTGGAGGTGCAGAAGAGGAAGGAGAGCACCAGAGAAATGATCCCTTGTCTTTCCAAATGCTGCTTCCTGACCAAGCTGTTTGCCTCAGTCAGTCAATAATCATAGAATAAGTGCCTCCTATGTGCCAGGCACTGTGCTCAGCAGTGGGAGTACAAAGAAAGGCAAAAGACAGTCCCTGCCCTCAAGGAGTTCCCAGTCTACTGGGGAGAGAACATGAAAACAAATATGTGCGAATGCTATATATCAGGATAAAATTGGAGATAATCAACAGAGAAAGCACTAGAATTAAGGGGGAAGGAGAAAGGCTTATGGTAGAAGGTGAGATTTTAATTGGGACTTGAAGGAAGTCTGTAATTAGAGATGGCATTCTTTAATAGGTGGCTAAGCAACGTAATGAACAAAGGACTGGATTTGTCATCAGGAAGACCTGTGTTCAAATCCTGCCTGTATGACCCTAAGCAAGCCACTTTACTTCTCTCAGTTTCCTCATCTGTAAAATGGGGATAATAATAAAACCTACTTCTTACGTTGTGCAGATAAAATTAAATAATGATGCAAAGTGCTTTGTAGATCTTAAAGCATCCTATCAAAGCCAGCCATTATGATTGTTATCATCATCATCATTATGACATACTATAAGCAAAACATTTTCTATGTTCCATGTTGAAATAGAAATATTCCTGGAAAAGGTAATGCAATAGTTCTGTCATTTTAAGTTTAGCTTGAGTGTATTGTCTTTTCTTGAAAACCAGTTTTGAGAAAGAAGAGGGGTGGGAGCAGAGCCTGAGAGTGCTGGGAACTTTGGTGGAGCAAAGAGGGCCACAGAGAGAGCAAAAGCATACAGAAGCAATAATGATGATGGCAGAGATAGACTCTTCCTACTTCAAGCATTTCGGAGGGGTGTCCATATGTGGGTCATTTAAAAAGAGAGAGATGGCTACCATTAAACACAAATATATATATATATATATATATATATATATATATATATATAAACATATGTGTATATATATATATATATATATATATATATAAACATATGTATATATATGCATGTGTCTGTGTATGTGTATATGTGTATATATGTATGTAAAATCATTCTATACATATTTCTGTTTATCAGTTCTTTCTCTGGAAGGAAGAAAAAAGAAAAAAACAAAGTTACATGATAACTTTATTGTTTATTTAAAGGGAATAGCAAGTTTTACATAATAGATTTGCAGTTTCATATAGAATCATCTTTTTTTATTCTACTATGTTATCAAAATGATTATTCTATTTCATAAGTTCAAAATAAAATAAATAACATTTAAAAAAAGAAATAGAGACTTTCAGACAGTATGATATCATGAAAAATGCTGGCTTTGAGTCGGAGGAGCCAGGTTCAGATTGCGCCTCTGTTGTTTACCACTTGCATGTACTTGCAAATCCTATCACTTCTCTGGGTCTCAGTTTCATCTTCTGTAAGATGGCAGCTGAGCATTTGTGAACCCATGACCTTTTCCTTGCCAGACACTCAGTCATAGCTCCAGAAAAATCGTAGATTTAGAGCTAGAAGGAACCTTAGAGGTCTCCTTGTCCAACTGTCTCATTTTACAGATAGGGAAATTGAAGCTGAGAGAGGCTGCATGACTCATTTAAGGCTTAAGTGACATAAGAGCCAGGATTTAACTGAGATTCTGTGACCCCAAGTTTACATCTCTTTCCACCATGCCATGTTACTTCCCTCAGAGGTTTAGTGGTCAATTCACCTTTGAACGACATATGGAGGAGAAAAATTTTCTCTCTGACTCTTCTCAGTTTGTTAACCAAGTGGGCATAGGCTTTGGTGGAGTATTTGAGTTCAAACTGCCTCTGCTTTCTGGGTTCCCAGCTCCATCTTGTTTGTATGTTGTCTATTCTGCACTGAGTGATCAGGGTTCTCTCCAAAGCGAGTAGGTGGGGAGTAGTACTGTCTTTTAGTCCTCGGAGGAGAGTGAGATCTGGGCAGCTGAAATGAAGAACTTTGGGGATTATTTACAGAGAACATGAAGTTTGCCTTTAAGTCTAGCACATAAAATACTGAGAACAAATATCCTAATGCTTTGAGAAGATTCCAGGATTTTTCATCATCTATCAAGCCTTGTTATTGAACCTTTAGCAATATCTTGCTTGTATAGCACTCTACAGTATAGAGAAGATATTCACATATGCTACCTTATTTGATCTTCGCAGCAGCCTTGATAAACTTTACCATCCTTGATCATCACCCAGATTGGCCCTCTATGTGTGGATGTATTCCAGGATTCTGTCCTGCGACATTTTCTGTCTTACTCTTACTCTGCCATTTTGGAAATTTGCTCAGTTTCCATGGGTGACCAGCCCTCTATTAAAGGGATGGTTTGTGAACATTTCAAAAGAGAGCCTTGTTATTACAAAGAAGCAACATCTCTAAGCAAATGACTTCTAGATCTATATTTCCAGTCCTAGTCTTATCTCTAAATGAGATCAGATTACATCATATTTGTAAAGTGCCTAATAACATTTATTCCCTTCCTTTGCACCCTCTAAGCAAATGATTCCTGGGTATATGTATACCCAGCCTAATCTCTTCCCTAACCTCCAACACTAATCATGAATTACCTATAAAACATTTATAACAGGATAATCCTATAGCCATCTCGAATTTATATGCCCCCAAAGGAACTCATTATCCTTTCCCCAAACCCTTTGCTATTTCTGTTAAGAACATCACCTAGGTGTACAACCTAGGTGTCACTGACTTTTTACTCTTCCTTATTCCCTGCCTCACCCTTGTACCACCACTCACTCCAGCCCAGACAATCAGTTACCATGTCTTGTCTCTTCTAGGCAGCTAGGTGCAAGGTGGATAGAGCCTTGGACCTGGAGTCAAGTTGACAAGTTCAAATTCAGACTCAGATACTTACTAGCTGTGTGACTTTGGGCAAGTCACTTAACTCCTATCTGCCTCAGTTTTCTTACCTATAAAATGAGGAGAATAATAGCATCTGCCCTTCAGAGTTATTGTGAAGATAAAATGAGATAGTATTTGTTAACTTCTTTATAAACCTTAAAGTCTATTTATTATTATTATTATTATTATTATTATTATTATTGTTGTTGTTGTTGTTGTTGTTGTTATTGTTGTTCTACTGCATCTGTTGCAACCAATCCTTTCCTAATACACTTGCTTTTATGGTTCAGCCCATATCATATCTCTGTTGCATTATGGGGCAGCTAGGTGGCACAGTGAATAGAGGGACAGGCCTAGAGTAAGGAAGAATCATCTTTGTGAGTTCAAATCTGGCCTCAGATACTTATTAGCTGTGTGATCCTGGGCAAGTCATTTAATTTCATTTGAATGAGCTGGAGAAGGAAATGGCAAATCACTCCAGTATCTCTACCAAGAAAAAACCAAATGGGGTCACAAAGAGGTGGACATGACCAATTCCACTGAAGAACAATGTTGCCTTTTCTTCATAATTGGTACCCCCCACTTCTAGGCTCTCTCCTCTCCATTTCACATTCCACACAGCTGCCAAAGTCATATTTCTAAAGTTCAACATCTTATTCCTTTGCTCTAGTGGGTCCTCCATTCTGAGATTAAACACCACCTCAGAATCTGGCTCCAAGATCTATTTTCAGACTTATTTCACATTCGTCTTCCTCAGCCCCCTAGGTCCTGACCAAAGTGGCTTCTTTACTATGATCCATACAGAACATTCTTTTCCCTGTTTCTCTGCCTCACACAAACTGCTCCCTGGCATGCTCTTCCTCCTCATCTCCTGCCCTTGGAATCAATCCCTATTTCCATCCGAGACCCAGCTCGAGCACCACCTACAACAGGAGGCCTCTACTGAAATACTCAGTGGTTAACCTCTCTGTCTCCAATTTATTGATTTACTTTGTGTATATATCTGCAGCAACTTCTCAGTGTATATGAACATGTTTTTCCCTTCTAGTAAAATGTAAGCCCTTTGAAGACAGGCATCATTTCCTTTCTGTCTCTGCATCCCTAGTCTCTAGTCCCTAGTACCTCCCAGGCCCTGAATAAATAAATTCTCATGGAATGAATGAATGCTATTGAATCATCTTTGAGGTTCCTATTGTGGGACTGTGGTACAGGGAAATTGCCCTTTAGTGAGGGAGGTGATTTCAGAACTTTGGTAATGAAATACCCAGACCTACCTTCCTATAGTGGCATAGCTCATCATTAATTTAACACGTGGATTCTTCCATTACACAAGGAACCCAGCATCCTTCAGAAGTTTATAGCTGGCACTGGTGTGCTTGTGTCCCCAGCCA